ACTTTAAATACATCACAGATGATGTGTCGACATTTGAAATATTTCATTTTCATATCTAATAAATAAGAAAAGATTTTTCATATTCTTTTTATTGATAATCAGATTAGTATAAATGTTAGGTTATGATTTTTGATTAAATAAGAAAAGATTAGCTAACCTAACATTACTTTAACCATACTAACTCATTCAATTTTCATAAAAAAACATAAACACACAATTTAACTTAAACAAATTTTTTCAAAGTTTCATTAAACTAATTTATACCAAATGAAATGAAATCGTCACAATTGGTGGACACAAATTTGTAAAGATTCAATTTTATTAATCAAAAGAATAAATATATATATTATATTTTAATTAACATTAATTAACAGGACTTAATTATGATCTTAAATAGTAAAAAGAAGAAGAAAAAAACATTCATAGAAAATAAATTGTAAAAGAAAACTTATATACTTGATACACGTGTGTATGTTTGGTATATTATAATGAAAAGAAGAGACAGCTATTTTCTTTTTTTTTCTTTTTTTTTTTTTTCTATTATAACGGTTAGCCACTAATGTAAATTACTTCCACCACGAGAAATTTGAGTACATTTACGATATACAAAACTTACTATACATATATCTATATATATATATATGTACACTCACAGTTGCACATTCTTGCACATCTTTAAATGCATTTAACTTAGCAAGATGCCGGAAATATTTTCGCTGCCACGAGTACAGGTAATGGCTCCTACTTGACCTATAGAAGAAGAGTAGTAGTAGAAGGGTGGGGGGAAAATAACGGTTAACACGAATTTTAAATCTACGAGAAGGACTAATTTAATGTCGTCAGTTTCTCTCTCTCTCTCTCTCTCTCTTTCTCTTTCTTTTTTTTCTCTTTCTATCTTTTTCTGTGCGTTTAATTAAGCGTACTTTAATCACAAATTCTCTTACATTTGAATAAAAAAATTCTATCAGAGTTTTCTTAACCATAAAATGTATTCAAAAATACTTTATTAAAATGTACAAGAATAAATTAATACACTCGTGTTATTTTTTATTTTATTTTTCTTATGTGTATCTTTTATTTATTGTGATGGCAAAGGAGAATTCAAAAATAATTGTTTACATAAAAAGATATGTAAATTTCTTAAAAATTGATATACTTATGTTAGGTCTTTATTTTTGTATTTATTTATAACTTTCTTTTTTGTAATATATCTTCAAAATACTTATTGATTTGAAAAACTGTACAAAATAAAAAAAAATTAACCTATTTAAAGAACATTTTAAAAGTTCATAACAGTAATGATTTGTTGCAACATTGTTTAGTAACATTTTAAAATGTTACTCTTCATTTTCTTCTTCATTTATACCTTTCTCTTTTTGAATCTATCAACAAAATAGTTATTGATTTGAAAAACTATACAAAATAATATATTAACCTGTTTAAAGAACATTTTATTAGATCACAATAATAGCTATGCAACATTATTCAGCAACATTTTAAAATGTTATTCTTTATTTTCTTCTTCATTTATATCTTCTCTTCTTATGATCTTCAGTAGTATATTCAATAATACTTATTCATATAAAACAATAAATATATAAACTTATTAAAAATTAGTATACCTATGTTATTCTTTATTTTCTTCTTCATTTACTATACTTTACTCTCTTGCAATCTATTTTCAAAATACTTATTGATTTTGAAAACTATACTAAATAATATATTAACCTATTTAAAGAACATTTTAAAAGTTCATAACAGTAATGATTTGTTGCAACATTGTTCAGTAACATTTTAAAATGTTACTCTTCATTTTCTTCTTCATTTATACCTTTCTCTTTTTGAATCTATCAACAAAATAGTTATTGATTTGGAAAACTATACTAAATAATATATTAACCTATTTAAAGAACACTTTAAAAGTTCATAACAGTTGTTATGCAACATTGTTCAGCACTATTTTAAAATGTTATCTAATGTTAATCTTTATTTTTTTCTTCACTTATAACATTCTCTTTTATGATCTTCAGAAGTGTATTCCAAAATACTTATTCATATAAAACAATAAATATAAAAACTTCTTAAAAATTAATACACTTATGTTACTCTTCATTTTCTTCTTCATTTATACCTTCTTCTCTTACGATCTCTTATGAATTATATTTAAAAATATTTCTTCATATGAAACTGCAGTATAAAAACTTCTTAAAAACAAATATACTAATATTACTTATTATTTTATTTTCTCTCTATCCTATTATGAATCCTATAATCTCACTTCCTTCATAAACACACAAAGCACAGGTATCATAATCCAATACTTTCTTACATCATAGAAAATAATAATACTTTTCTCAAATTTTAATAAAACAAATAAATAAATGCTTTTAGTAATTGTTCGTAGAATGAACAATTTACATTCATTAATTTTTAATATTTAGATTGAAATGTAGAATACAATATTTACCAATTTAACAAAATATTATATAATATTTTTCCATTAAAAAACTTTATTCAATTTGTAGATCCAATAGGTAAAGAACAACAATTGAAAATTGCAATCAATGGTTTTAATAATTAGTCTTACTTTTTTTTTCATACATACATACATACAAACACACTTTCTCTCTCTCTATCTCTCTCTCTATCTCTCTTTCTCTTTCATTCCATTTCCTCAATTCATCTTCGTTTTCGTCGAAAGAAAAGGTCTGCCGTATCTAATTGGAAGAAGAAGAAAAAAAAAAAAATAATAATTGTGCACAAAGTTCGACATTCGTTTAGTCGCCTAGAAACGATGAATGGTATCTAACAAAAAAAAAAAATAAATAAATAATAAAAGAATAAAAACAAACTATTTGTTTCTTCTTTTTTATTATAAATTTGATAATACTGAAGATAATAAATATTAACGAGAAGAAAAATACAAAAACATTAAAAAATAATTGAACAAATTTTGTTGTAACTTTGGTAACTGTTAAAACAAAAGCGAGAAACAAAGATAAAATAAAATGAAATAGAATGTATAAAAAGTAAAACAAAGAATTAAGTTTAGGTTGTTTTTTTGTTCATTTGTTTTGTTGTTTTTTTTTTTCCTTTTTTTTTAGGTATCCATTCATCGAAACCATTTTTCACTTGTTTGTTAGCGATGCGATGCTCTCGTCAGTGTTCTTATGATCATCGTTGCCTGGGAACTTACTTCTTTTTGTGATACATTATACATATTCATATATACATAAATATATACATATACTATATATACTATATATATTAAATTAGCAACTAAAGGTTCCCATTGTTTTTTTTTTAAATTTTGAAACATAAATTGTAATACATTGTTGATTAATTAATTGTTCAATTTTATTGAAAGATAAACTGGTAAAGAATTGAAACAAAAAATTTGCGGGAATTTAGTTGTTAACCTTATATATATTTATTTTATATTATATTATATTATATATGAGTATATATATGTATATATTTTGTGTATTTTATAAAAGCCTGTTTCTAATTAACGATAAGCACGCGTACGAGCGCGAATGTACGTTGAATGTGGTGTAAATATTCAAGTGGCTAGTAAAAAAAAAAAAAGGATAACTAGTGAACGTAGATTTAAGTTGGGTTATGTCAAATCCGGAAAGAAATGAAAAAAAAGAAATAATTAATTATTTTATATATAAAAATCCTCTATTTACATTAAATTCATTTTAATTTCAACTATTCAAACATTAGTTCGTAAAAATATATTTTTTATTTTATTTCATTGGTTGAATTATAAATTCATCTGCCATACATTTCAGGTTATGTTCATTTTTATGTATAATATCTCACTATTTACATTAAATTCATTTTAATTTCAACTGTTCAAACATTAATTAATAATAATATACGTTTTATTTTATTTTATTTCAATTCATTGGTCAAATAATAAATGCATCTGGTTACAGGTTATCATTTTAGGTTATGTTCTTTTTTTTTTTTAATAAAACTTTTATTTAAATTATTTATACAGTCACACAATTATGTTTAAATATAATACAAGTAATATTATTGCATTTATTTTTCCTTAACTTTGTAAAAATGTAAAACAGGTTGGTGAACATTAGGAGGAAGAGAATTAATTCAATCTTTCAATCTTCCATTTGTTAATTTGAAAAAATAATACAAATTACAATTATATGATACAAATAATTTTTGATAAAACATTTTCTTAACCTTACTTTTTCTTTTTTTTGGCTCCCGGAATTGATACAACCCTGGTCATCGATTTGACCAATCAAGAAAGCGTTTGTTTCATCAGTGGCTAGTTTTTAAGCTCGCAACGCCCACGTTGAGCGAAAACGTTGGAATCATTGGTCCGATTTGGTTTCGACAATTTTCAAAATCAAATTTTTCAAATTTCAAAGAAACCATGTTTCTGTCTATAAAAATTGTCTCAAATTTTGTCAATTAGAAAAAGGATGATTTTATAAATCATGGATGTTAAATCCGAACAAAAATTCCAACGGTTAGATCTTTTTTGCTCCGTTTACGCTTTGGCGGGCATCAAAGTGCATCTCAAGACGTGCACTTCCTCGGAATTTGTTTACAGATTATTATTATTATTATTATTATCATTATTATTATTATTATTATTATTATTATTATTATTATTCGTAATAATACTCTTAAATTACGAACATGCGAAAATTATTAAATAAAATAAATTTTATAATTATTTTTATTCACATTAATTATTCAAATATTATAACAATTTATTAATAAATATATATATATATATATATAATTTTTTTTTGAAAAAGTGTTAAATGAAATTCGCACTTTCGTAATTTCAGAGGATAAGCTTTATATTATCGTGGGCATGGCGTTTTGAAAATGAGCAAATATATCTCGTAAAAATTTAATTATAATATATATAATAATTATATATCTATGAATAGAAATGAAGAAAAAAATTGATGAATAAAATGTTTTCTTTTTTTGTTCATTTTGTTTTCACGTAGGTCGATCTAAGGCACATGGATGAAAAATCCGGAAGTAACGTGGTGGACGTGGGAGTAGATCTTTCAGAATTCTATATGTCAGTTGAATGGGATATTTTAGAAGTGCCTGCAGTACGGTAAGTGTTTTTTTTTTTTTTTTTTATTTAATTTAATTTAATTATTAATTATTAATATATTTTTTAAATTGAAATAATTGTTGGTATCATAAAAAAAGTGTATTTGATTAATTAACGAATGAAATATTAAATACGTGAAAGTAATTACCTTAAAAACTTATTCAATTGTTCATTTTTTTTTTCGTTTTTTTTTTGTTTTTTTTTTTGTTTTAATTACAGAAACGAAAAGTTTTATACGTGCTGCGACGAACCATACCTCGATATAACATTCAACATAACCATGAGAAGAAAAACACTTTTCTATACCGTCAACATCATCATACCATGTATGGGGATCTCTTTTCTTACCGTTCTGACGTTTTATTTACCAAGTGACAGCGGAGAAAAGGCAAGTATTATTTATTTAATAAAATATCATTTTATTTTTTATTCCATTAAATTTCTTTTTACCATTAACTATTTCACTGACAATTAATTAAATCATTCATTTGTAATCAATCTGTCAATGTCAATTAAATCCATTCTGATTTTTGAAGTTTTGAATTGTTTTCTAAATCTTGATTCATTTGAAATAAATCATAATTTATATTATAAACAATCATTTGTATGTTTTAATGCAAATGATTAGAATGAAATATTTATGATTAAAATAATTTCATATATTATTAATTCATAAAATAAATCATAATTATTTATTTTTTTTTTTTTTCATGCACATTTCATGAGTTTTCTTTTTCTTTTCTTTTTTTTTTTTTTTTATTCTTTTATTATTAATAGAAAAATGTGAATAACTATCTTAAATTGAAGAAATTTAAATTATTGACAGTATAAGTTAATCAAAGAGAATATTCTACTGATTTCAATGAGTCTTTTAGTTTTCGAACTTTGATAAATTACTCCTCTCTCTCTCATCTCTCTCTCTCTCTCTCTCTCATCTCTCTTTATCTCATAACTTTCATGGAGAAATTAGCTTCCATCGAATCGAGTGTTTCAAATTTCAGAGAGCTTTTCCTTTTAATCCTTTAAAAGAGTAATTGTTATAAACGAGTTTTCAAAACGTTTCAAAACTATCCTGTAAGCTAATATCCTTTTAATAACAATTTTTAATTAATATTTAATACGATAAATGATTCCGTATTTTATAATAAAGTATTAATGGTTTTCAATGTTTATTAAACATTAAGTATTTTTTATTAAATATTATTATTATTATTATTGTTTTAAAATCAAAATAATATTTGTGTTAAATAATTAATTAATAATATTGAATATATATATATATATATATATATATATATATTTAATATATTTTG